TGCTGAAAAATCCGTGAAGAATATTTATTAACAGAATTAGTAAAATTTATGATTGTTAAAATGTATTCAGAAGTTTTGAATTTCTAATTATTCTCTTCATTTTTAAATTTTTTCCCTTTCAAATACGCAAATGGTTTATAGTAATTATTTTATTACTGCATGATAATTATATTTTAAAGTGATAAGTTTAAATTAAATTTCCTGAATAATAATTATTTAATTTTTTAATTAATCAATGATTTCGTTTGAAAACAATCAAACATTAAAGTATAATAATATTTTTGAAAAGATAAGCAAAAAAATTTTTCTAAAAAAGTTTTCATTTTTTAAAATTGTTCGGTAATTATTACATTAAGAAATTAATATTGTTAAGAGGCAAAAGGTTCGAAATAAATTCTTACAATGTTTGTAAAATAAATGATAGACTAATTGACTATTTTATTAAAGTTATACATTAAAGTTAGCTTTTAAATTGTTTACGATAGGACATTAAAATTCTTTTTTCGTTTTCGTAATTCCTATTTTGCTTAATTAATAATTAGTTAAATAAATATTTATTAAAAATTATTTATAAATTTGGATAAATTAATTAGTGGGATATCCTTTTTTTTTGTTCATTCTTCTGTTCTCAATTAATATATCATTAAAAGTTGCAAATAATAATGAGCCTTGTTTAGAAACTAAAATCGAAATTGAAATAAAAGGGAAAATCAGTTACATCCAATCTATGCTATTAATATTAAAAATTGTATACTATATCATATAGTTTCTACTTAAAATCAAACTGAAAAAAAAGTAAATAAAGTTAAATATTCGGAAAAATTTATGTGAAAACAATTAAAATAGACTTCTCTTCATAAACCAAACTAATTCAAAAACAACCTGGAAATAATTAGTGTAAACGGATAAAGGTAATATTAAAGTTTTGTTGGATATATTACAACAATGATTGATAGATTGTCAATCATTGTCAGAAGTCCGAAATCTTGATATATTCTCGAATTCTTTCATATTTTCTTTTTTTGAAAAGAGAAGAAAAATGAACAAATAGTTCTAAACAATGATTATTATTCAAACCAACTTTGACATAAATTGTTTATTGATTTATTAGATAATTTTAATCACATTATTTTAACAATGGTTCTATCTGAAAATTTCCTAAATAAAATTTACACGAATCAGGGATTTCTTTACACAAAGAAGCAGCATGATGAAAGTTTTCTAGAAACGATACAAGAAATCCGGAAAATAACAATGGTAGAAATAATAGCATTTGGATTAAGAGAAAATTTAAGAAATCCTAAGTTATAATTTTTATAAATATAACTGTTAACCAGTTATGTCGAAGTCAAAAATTCCGAGGAATACTACCAGAAAGTTAATTTATCAGTTCCGAATTCCGATATAGCTCATGGCTTATCTAAAAAGTATATTATTGTCACTTGTTTTCAGAGCCGAAATTGTTAGCATTCAGAATTTGCTGTGTTGTGTTAATAAAATATATGAATGTTGATGATATTACACAAAACGTTTCATTTCGCCTCGTATACTTTACCGATTGTCGCTTATCAATCATTTTATGACCCATTAAATGCATATTATATTTACTTAGCATCAAAAAGCTCTAACAAGCATTCATTGTTGTTCCTCAAATATGATTATTATCAATTTATCAAAAATTTTATTTTACAATAAAAAAATGTCATTCTTCTCTTCCTTTAGCGATAAGATATTTGAAAGAGTTGAAAAGAAAAATTCCCTCTTTACTGCAATTTAAAATTACGGTAAATTGCTTTCTCTTATTGACAAACTTCTTCTCCTTGTTGTAATTCAGTTTTACAGTGAAATAAAAAGCACAATTATAGCAAAGTTTTCTATACAACAAATTAAATTCCATTGTTTAAGTTCCTGAAATATCTGAAAAGAATTTTAAAAGGAAAAATTTTAATAAAACACTTAAAATTCACTTCTATTTCATAAGTATCAAATTATTATGCATATAAGAAGTTTATGGTAGAGCCTTAAATCAAACTTCATTTATTTTTTTGCTTTCATATACATTTGTTAATTAAGACAAGAAGATAATTAAGTCGCCTGATAGTAATGATAAAATATGATTTTAAAGAAAAAGATGAAATGCATAGCATCACTAAATCTTTGGATAGAATAAGAGATCATAAAATTGACTCTCATCGATAAACTGACAGAAAACATCAGTTGTATTTTTTACAAGTAACATTTAATAATCACAACTCGATTTACGGATAACTTATGATTTATTGACACTTACGGCAAATATACAACGTTTGGTACCGTATGCCGTTGGGTAAAAACGAATAATGATATAAAAGGAAAAATCATAGCAGTCAGGAAAATTACAGCATCAACTAAAAAAGGTGAAAATTAACACTATACATTTGTAAAATAAAATTAATATTATATACATTCCGTGTGTACTATTTAGTATCGTATACGACTAATATATTGCGTAATACCATATTTGTCTGGCATACTGTAGTATTTATATATTACAAGATATAGTGTGGAAAATGATAGCGATCCATCTCACTTACAGTAATAATTTTATTTTCTTTTTTGTAATTTATTTAAAGAAAAATTATGATTTCTTTTATATTTTTTCCTTCGTTTTTGCAGTAAAATTAAAAAAGAAATAAATAAGGAAAAAATTCCAACAAAATCCATTTTTTTCATTTTTACAGCAAATTTTTGCGAAGAAAAAGTTCAGTTAAAGAAATAAAGAAGAAGAAAATATACTGAAATATATCGGAAAAGTAAGAAAGAAAGAGGTAAAAAATGAAAAGTTATTCTCAACTTTTTCTTATTATCTTTATCTCAAAAAAATTATTTTAGATGATATGAAGAGATATGTTGACATTGCCAAGCAGATAGGTTAGTTTATTTGAAGTATTATGGTAATTGAATAATTGGAAGGAATGATGGAAAGGGTAAAAGAAAAATTGAAATGATACATAAGATGACAGATGATATAAAGAAGAAAAAAACAGAGGAAAAATGAAGTAGGGAGAAAAAGAGAGATGGATGGATCGATCAGTAAACATAACCTTATAATTTTATTCAGACAAAGTTTTAAGAAAGCAAGCAAACAAAATTTTATTTACACAAATGACAGCCATCGTTTAGATTTCCACTTCATACGTTATGTTCGGTAGTTCGGTTGTTTATACATATATAAATTTTTTTGATAAAATTTTCCACAGTGTAAGAAAATTGCAATATCATACAAAAAAGATAAAGAAAGAGAAAGAGAAAAAGATAATATTATTTTTGGGAAGAAATCTAAGAAATTTTGATATTTTCCAGCGTTTGTATTAAAATACACAGAAAAGAGCAATAAAATATCTGTTGAGAATTTGGAAAAAATATGAAAAATGATATTTTGTTTGATCGATACATTCCCAAATTATATTATCAATGATTAAATATTACTTCTGAAAGAAAACGAAAATTCATAGAGGTTGTACTCTTTTAAGACTAAATGGAATGAAAGTAGATATAATTTTTAAGCCTATTATTTCCATCAGAAGAACAATAGCTACTTCATCAGAAATGACTCAAAGTGATGATCAGAGGATCCTTTGCTAGACTATAAATGTCTTGAAATGCATGACCCTTGCAAAAGCATCAGACTTTGACATGCTCAATGACCAAGTTGCTTGAGTCATTCCTCTGGTAAACATAACAAAATAACTGCTCCACACATATTTTTACGAAAATTAGCAATGCAAAGATAAGTTAGATAAAATGGTGTCCCACACAATCTTTGGGGTTTTAATCTAGCTCCAGGATCTGATTATCTAGGTCCCGAAACTGTTGCTAATATCTAACTAGTCTTGGCAGGATCGCATTTGTCTGCTACATAAATAAGAAATACTTCACTGATTTATTCATATGTTTGATAAAAATTTTAATGGATTATAAATTAAACAAATGCAAATCAAATTACAGTTTATAAATCTTTACTGGAACAAAAAACAAAACAAAGAAGTAATGAGCTTCATGAAACATTAACAACTTGTTATAATTAATTATAACATTAAAGCCCAATAAAAATTTCGATATCTGTCTCAAAATTGAATCTAAAAAAGACGTATTTCAGGGTAATTATAAAACATTGCAACAATTTCTACACATTTACATAACTCAAACTTCTTCCTCACACCACTTTCATATTCGTAGGCCAAAAAGAAAAGTTTGAGTTCACAATTCAAATCTGAAATTAAATAGCACAATATAACTATTTGGGTTAAGCGCGAACACAGAAACACACATAGAAGACAATGAATTGTTTACAACCCGTATAAAATTTGACAGTCTGAAATTTATCTAAAGTTGCGTATACAGATATGCAAAAATTAGTTCAAATATTTACAAGAATATTAAGAAAAGAAGCACACCATCAATTCCTGCAATTTCCTTTATTATCATTCTGTATAGATAAAAAGATCACTGATATTTCCGAAATCAGCAATATTCAGCACTTCTTAGTTGTCATATTTATTCTATTATAAAAGATGACAAAGAAATAAAATACTTCCTGAGACAAAACTCAACTAAATTTATCGTTGGTCAAATGACAGTTTTAAGGAATGATATTTTTAGTGTAATTAACGATTGTAATCATTGCATTTAGGTATCACTTACACGAAATAAAAGAAAAATTTCAACGTCAAACATTTATTTAGCTTTTTTATCTGTTCTAAAACAACTTTAATGTCAGTTGAAATTAATATTTAACGTCAAAATTTCATAATATAAAAGAAACATTAAGATCCTAAGTTTATAGTCATTATCAATCTTATGCTTTTTCATTTATAACTTAAAAAATTAAAATATTATGGGAGTAAGCCTGAGCAAGGGAACATAAAAACATTATAAATTTACAAGAATAGAAATTTCGGTCCCACTACTTCCCCTAACACTTCTTTTAACATTTTTTAATCTTATTACAGTTACATACACTATTTTGACGGCATAGTGAATAAAGATACGTCAAGTGGAGTGTTGTGACTGGAATCAAAATCTGTCAGATACTTTGAGCACAAACAATATATTAAGGTGTTACGGTTTTGTTGGGTTAAATTTTCGACGTTATCCACTGTTAATATGGTTGGGCAATCCTTAGCCATCGATATGCGTTCGAACGGACCTGCTGCTAACCAAATGTCCACTGCTAGTTCTGCATCATCATTTATTAGATCAGGATATCGTGAGCGAAGAAGTGATTTCAATAGATTGTTGGCGCGATTTGTAGCAAGACGTTCTTCGTCTGTGCCCTCTGCTGTTATGATCATTTCATCCTGGGTGCGCCTGATTAAAGTTACAGGTCCAGGATATGATGCCAGCTGGAATAATACAATTAATAATAATAAATAAATAAATAAACAAATAATAATAAGTATTTAATAATAATTAATAATAATAACAATAAATATTAATAATAGTAATAATTGATAATTGATAATGATTATAATTAATAATTAAAAATAACTAATAATCAACAATAATCATTATTAATAATTAATAATAATTAATAATCAACAATAAATATTATTAATAATATAATTAATAATAATAATAACTGATAACTAATAATAGTGAATAACTAATTAATGATCATACTAATTAATGACAATAATTAATAACAATTAATAATAATATTAATAGCAATGATAATAAATAAATGACAATCATAATAATAAATAATGAACAATAGTAATAATAAGTAATAAACAATAATAACAATAAACAATAAGCAACAATAATAAATAATAACAACAAGTTATAATAATAAATAATAACAACAAATAATAATGATAATGGTAAAAATAATAGTAATGATAATTTCAATTTTAAACAAGAAATGAATCTTTCAATTTTGAAATCATACGAACTCATTATCTTTCAAAATGAGTGGAAGGAACATTAAATGACTTAATTAGTTTTGTTGCGTAGCCTTATTAACTAAAATCATATGTCCCAAAAATCTAATGCATCCTAGAAAGTTTTCTTAGCAAATTATTAATACTGACATAACAGAGTGAAGAATGTATCAATTGTACCTCAGTCCTCAGAAATTATTTTTTACACCAGTTTTACTGATAGGTAGTATTTTCTCCAAGAATGGTTTACATGATTTCTTATGCCTAGTGATGTTTTGCACCGAAATATAACATCATCCAACATGTGATGCACTACCTTACTTTATTAACAGACAACCCATGACAAGCGGTCGAATTCGAAGGATTATTTCGACTATGTTTTATGTCTATGTACGAAATGGATATATAATAATTCTATTAATTTCCATCGAAAATTAAAACATTAAACCTGCAAAGCGATCGGCATATCGAAGTACGTGCGAACAATGAATTCAACTAGTGGACCCCATGATCTCGGCATTTTAGCCTCAGCAAGAGGCAAAAGATCATCAAACGTTGCATCTAGTATCAAAGCCTGAAATGAAAAATGCAAAATATTAAAAAATTAATATCTACATCAACTTGATTTTAATACTTTGGTATTACGTGTGAGACTCCTTTATACTAGATAAGAATCTCGATTAGCAATAAGTTCGTAGCCGAAAAACAAATAGTTACATATTTAATCCATTAACACATAATTTAAATGAATAAATCGTTACTAATCTCTTCGAAATTAATTTTTTGAGATAAAAACCTATCAAATTCAGACGGAAGAAAAATATTACTTTGATATTTGGATAATTAGCAGCAGCCCATGTTGCCGGAAACCCACCAATTGACCACGCATAAATGACAATTTGATCTTCCGCAAAACCTAATTTATGTATTGCATATTGAATAACGGCATCAATTGATGCAGCCGTTTGTTTTGGTGTTGGCATACCACTACTTTCACCAAATCCTGAAATTTTTGAAATGCTTTACGCTAATTTTAGCTGAATTTGGTTCAAAGACGTTATCACTATTCTCAAAATATATTGAAAGCTTTCTTATAATTTGATACATTTTTATCCCAAATTTTAGTAAGCTTTATGCAAGAAAAAAAATTTCGATTTTCGAAACCCATGTAGTTACGAATCATCAAAATGAGCTGGTATTTATAGCTGGTATTGTATTGCACGCCTTTTCGAGTTTTTTTATTTATGCGTCTATGCGATGTGGTAAAGATGTTATTAATTGAATTATTTGCATATAGTGTTACATTTATTACTATATTATTATCTACGCTTATTTGTCATTGTTAAATTTTTAAATTCATAAGTGAAATTTTGTAACCAAGAAAAATATCAACCAGGTTGATTCCATCCAAGCACCGAATAGTTCAACGTAAGTGGCGTTGGCATAATGCCAGTTTCGTAAAATCCAGCATTTCCCTCACAGGTTATAACAAGAATATCGCCATTTCCTCCTTGTTCTCGACGATCAACAAACATGGTATCCACTTTATTACCTTCTCTTGTCATTAAAACTCCACGCATAGCACCCTTAACAATGAAAATTTTCAGTGTAATGCGGAAACTCGGCCACATAAAGTGAAAAAAAAAATATTGCAGTCTTAGTAGTAAAACTGAGTGAATGGTGAAAGATAGTAGTACTAACTGATTAACTGAAAATTTTGATAGAATATGTCGTCAAAAAGGAATATAAATCTGTATCAATCAAAAAATCATTCGAAACCAAACCTTTTCCACCACAAGTTTCCGTCGATTCTCGACTAGAAATGATTGAATCAGTTTATTCAATAATGCTGCTGAACCAGGATAAACAAGCACACGTGCAAAACTGTAAGCAATATTGTAAGATAGACAATTCCGCAACGTAGTGTATAACATATTTCCAGCAGTTGTAAATCTCCTTGGCGTTTCGAAATATTTTCTTGGCTCTCTACGAGCTTGAAAATCAATTGGTGCCGCAAATAACTGAAATTTGGAATCACAATTGCAATTTGAGACCAATAATCTTCGATTATTCATAGTTCTTGACAGCTTGATTAGCATAAAATAGTACAAAAGTTCCACTAAATTAAAAAGTTTCGAACTTCAGATCGATATATAAAAAAAGTAATGAAGTGATAGATACCTCATAATCATATTTTAGCAATAGTTCTTTCGCATTTCGATCATGTAAGTGAGCTTCAAATAATGTATCAGCAAATCGGCGATATTCTGGATTGAATATTCTGCCAGCAGTTCTCATACCAATAGCTATTATATAATATGACATTGTCAATTTTGCCAACATCATAAAATTTGTCCCACTTAACAACGAACGATTATAAGCGATCTGAAATTTAGAACGATTGATAACTTACATAGCTTTTAACAACTCCTACTTTCTTTTTTAAAGCTAATTGTCGATATTTTGACATCCATAGTTCACAAATTATAGCAACGAATACCACAAAGAGGTGAAATATTGAATGGTGCTCGATTATTTGAACTGTATGACCTAACTTCAATAGGTGGCCTTAATACGAAACAAATGTGCTAATTGAGCTGATGAAACTAATCGACTCAATACGAATAATGAAAACCAGAAAGCAGAAAACAGATGAGTGTGAAATAAACTGAGAAATGAAATGTCTTTATTGGAAATAGGCGTGGTATCACATGGGAATGAATTAAGTATCAAAAAATTATCGTGAATTTTTCTGAGATTCTTCAAAAAAATAATTTCAGAAAAAAATGACCCGTATATGAAATTTCTTGTAGCAAAACCACTCCTCGTCTTTTAATATTTTTAAATTTAGAAATTTCAAATCTCTTTGAAGTTAACAACTTCCCAAATTCAACAACATACCAGAAAAAGAAATGGTGAAACCACTGTGCACACTGCACGACACCCATTCATAACTGTTAGCATCGTTTCACTTACATATTCCAATGAATTACTCGGAAAAATTGTATCATGACGACGAATATATGCATACACCTTTGGGCCTCTTATCAAGCTTAACAATAACTCGGCCGGTGTCATCTTCAAATCGATTGTTGAAATTTAATAGTTTCAGTAATCACCTGGACAAAATTTGAAATCATATGATTATACAATAGTCATCCTCCCAGCAATCCTCGGGAGGCGCATAGTAGAACACAATGTCCCGCATCGAAATAGACAGAGTACTTTGAGGCTTGCTTCAACAGGATATTCCGCCTCTTCAGAATCAACAGAACGCTGTATGAATTAGACTCAGCAACAAATCTTACGGGATAATGACAGATCGTGCATGCGGTTGTTTCACATTTTAAGTTCGAAATTGTATCATACGAATGTAAACGTGTAATGATAATGTCACCAATGTAAAATAGATATTTATTTCCACAGGTGGAAAAGAATAAACAACAAACAAAGAGTTATATTAGGGATCATTTTTTCTTCGCTTTACAAGATTTTCTGAGGTAATGTTTATTGGTGAGCTTGGATCACTAATTTCCTCATTTGTTTTTCTTACATTTTGCTTTTCTGATGTAGCTTCCTCTGTCCTGGAACTCTCGTCAATTTGCACTACTTCGTTATTCTCCTCATTTGTGACATGTTGTGATCTCTCACCGATATTTTCCACAGTTGAGCTCGATTCCGAATCATCGGTTTCATCATCTGCATCTTTTTTTTCATTTTTTTTCTTCAGGCTCTTCATCTTCTTTTTATAACGCTGTCTAAAATAAAAACAATGTAAAAAATTTTGACAGTAATTTCAATAGCATGGAAAAATCATGTTCAAGTTTGTTTTTAAAGGTATTTGAAATTTTCGACTAATAAAATCCGAATCGCACAATAAGCATGCGAAAATATAGCACAAATTATGCAATGTCGAATTATGATATGATATATATTCGAGAAGCTTTAAATGAATTGAGAAGAGATATTACGTTAATCAATTGAAGATTAACCGTTTAACTCAGAAATAGGCTAACTAACAGACGGGCTAAACGGGACGATTGAATAATTGATATCATCACTGCCTTCGCCAATAAAATATAAAATCAAAAAATAATTGTCAAAGCAGTCCTAATAAACTAAAAAATTATTTTTACCTCTTTAATCGTTTCTTAGCTGTTTTTCTTTCCTCTTCCTCCGCTCGTCTTCTTCTTTCAGCCAAAAATTTCTCATCCAGTTCTTCTTGTGAAGCTTTATTATGCATATAGTCTAACCTGATAAACCCGGTATATTTTAATTATATTTTGGTTATATTGGCGATATATGCATTTTATAAACATTTTAAAGACAAAATTTTTCTATTTCATTTTATGGACAAAAAGTACGTAAAACCAAAAAGGGTTTCAAAAAGATTAATCAAAAATCAATCAAAAAAAGCCTTATAACAAAGGTCTAATACTGGCAATTAATTTTAATTTTCCACTAATCCAAAAAAAAAAGAGGATATACCGATCCATTTCCCGTTTTCGATTATTTCGGAAAATATGAAATTCCGCACTCCCGGCTGCGGCTGATGAACCAACAACATTACGAACAAAATCAGGCGGCGGCCGTGGCTTTCGACCATCTCGCCGTTGTGGTATGGACACAGGTTTTTCCTGTAATTCCTCATTATATTGGTAATGGTTAGAAGATGATTAACTGATCGGAAAGAGAGGAAAGGAGAAATGAAATCGGATTGCAGAGAAAAACTGTAATCGAATAAACATACAATATTTTTCTGCAACCTTTCCAATCGCATTCGTATCAAATCATAAGCAGTCCGAGCTTTTTGCTCCTCTTCCTGTTCTTTATCTTCATGCGGCATCTGAAATATAACTCATAGATACACTACTATAAGTCATATAAAAAAGAAACAATAGTTGAAATATGAACCATGAATGTCATAAGGTGATTTCTATTTCCATATGCACAGCTTTTAAGAATATCTTAAAAGGAATTCCATCTCCATATGCTTTCACTTAAACCTCCCACATACACCTTGGCGAATAGAACTTTCAATCTTCATTCTTACTTGCACAAACTTCATGAATATCGCATAAACTTTTCGACTACAACTATGAGAAAAGTTGATGCACTGATAATAATCAAAATTCGTTGGTGCGATAGATGATGGTAAGGTTTATCATCTCAAATACGACAACTATGATGAATCAGTTTTGTGATGCTTAAAGTAGTAGATAGAAAGCTTAGATGAGATTTGAATGAGATATTGAGAGTGTCAACTTCCCAGACTCAATGGATAACTGGAAGGACTTTTATCCTATTGCAAATCAACCGGATAGTCCAGTAAAATTAGTCGGATATGTAATCAAACAAAGTAGAAAGATGAATTAACAACATCAAGACACTTATGCGAACATTAACGTCAAAACACAAACAACAAATCGAGAATTGCCAATTAAACAACAGTAAGAATTATATCTCGAAAATCTTATCGCATTTCGTTTCTTGACCCACCCCGAATCTTCAATCTCCATTTCTTTCTCCTTCTCTCTCATTAATCGAATACTCACTTTTTTTTTCATTCTTTGCATCAATTTACCATTACATTTCAGATTTCATCATTCCTTTCTATCTCTCAATTTCACATCTTCTCTCAACACTTAACCTTTTCAAATCTTCATTCATTCTCTCTTCAAATTCCCTCTTCGTATCCTCCATTAATACAATGTTATTTTTGCTATGTTTTTCGGAAATGCGAAAAAGCGATTTTCCGTGTGTCTTTCATATATTTTTGTTAAACTTTTACAAATTGCTCATTTAATTCTTTCTAGTTTTGTCCATTTCCAGAAAGGATTTAATTAACAATCGAAACAAAGGGACAAACTCACATAGTGTCGAAATCTGTGAGTGAGATAATGTACGTATATTATAATAAGAGAAATATCGTGCATATGCATAATAAGGGATATTGAATGACAAACGATTTCTTTATGTTACATCTCTGTTCAGTGGTCATTAAATAGGTATGGGAGATTGAATGACCGATTAGATACGTTTGATATTATTTATGAGATCATAATATCAATGCTTTAATGTTTTATGCTAATTTTCACTTTAATTCCTGATTAACTTATTGATAACTTAGTACCTCTCTATAGTTTTAATTCATATATCTTTTTTTTTTCTTTAAGGGAATTTGTAATAGTGTTGAAAAGCCCAACTATTGTGGTCCACTTAAAGGTGTTCCACAAAAATGAGTCAAAAACGGTCCAAGCAAAAAAAGGATGATCAAGGGGTTTGTGTTTGGTTTTTTTTTGCTTTTGATTGTTAAATTTCGGAATTTTTAAAATGTTGTTCTTTCCCCAAAACTTTTTTCCGATATTCGAAATTTTACCTACACTTTGTTTTTCAAGACGTCGATATATCGATATTTTTTCATCTTTTTTTCCCAATTTTCTCTCCAGAATTTTATAAAATCATTTAAATAATTGGGAATTTAAACGTAGGAAATAAAGAAAAAAATTTTCAATAAATAATTATTAGTTATTGATAAGCTGAGAAATAAAATTAGAACGAGCAAAAAATATCTGTTGTTATCTTCAGCGTAATTGAGATTGCCGTTAGAGTAACGAGATCGTAGCAGTGATGAATATAAGATTTATTTAACTTAGTAAGTAGTGATGAAGTTGTTATTAACAGTATTTTTTAGAAATATCACAGTATTGTTAATTGCCCTTATTAATTTATAATGGTAGAAGGATCTAAGGTACAGTACAGAAAATAGGATTGGATTGGTCACAATAAATAAAAAGAGCTATGGTGATCTAATAAAAGATGGAGAATAAAATTGCGATGAAAAAAAATAAAAAATAATGATAGTGAATAAAAACATGGTTTAATTATTGTTTTCCGCTGTGCGTTATGATCGCTGCAAAAGATTTCAAAATTTCGACCAAAAATGTTAAAACGACTCGTTAACTAATAATTAAAAGCAGACCCAACTGATAAGATTACGAATGTTTCTGATCTTAAATTGAAATCATTCACAATCTTCAGCACTTTTCTAATAACTTCGAAAATTGGGTGGCAAACATGATATATTAAAATTGAATTCAAAAATTATTCAATCTTTTTTTTGCTTCCATCACTTTCATTGTAATTTATTTCTTAATATTTTATCATGGTCGTGATTCTTTTTTAGGATCAAGAATATGTTGTAGAAAAAATTATAGACAAGCGAGTTAGAAATGGAGTGACGGAGTATTATTTGAGTTGGAAAGGGTTTCCGCCATCAGAGAACACCTGGGAGCCAGAAGAAAATCTTGATTGTCCAGATTTAATCCAGGTTTTTAAGTTATTTCTGTTCTAGTGAACGGAGGTGAATAAAAACGAACGGGAAACAATAATGAGTTAAGACGAATCCTTAGACAAGGTGAGTAATTAAAAATTTGAAAACGTTTAATTTCTATCAAAAGTTTCTCCATAGGCATTTGAAGTTCAAGAAAAACGAACCAAAGAACAGAAACGAGCGAAAAGTTTTGAAAGGATGGGGCGAGGCTTCTTCGATCGAGGTTTGTAAAACTTATTTATCGAGATATAAAACTTCGTCACAATTGCTAGGTACAGATTGATGTTACGATATTGAGTATCTATTTGCATGAACTACCACATCTTTACGCCAGTTCTGACTACTAGGATTATAAAACATCATTCAGAAATGTGAACACTAAATGATTTATGACGATAGGAGTAATCTTTTTTACTTTTTTAGCTTCGCCTCTTTTATCCATCTGCTTTTTTCCAATTTCATCTATTGTTTTCTTAGCATGAAATATTTAATGTATTCATTATAGTCTGTGGATTTCGATAAAGATATAAAGAATACGATTTCGAAACATCTTGTAACTGTATAAGTTGTCTAAGTAAAACCATTTAGTCGTTAATCGGCTTGTCCTTAGGTTTGGAACCAGAACGAATTGTTGGTGCTACAAATAGCAGTGGAGAATTGGAACTGCTGATTAAATGGAAAGGAACTGATATGGCTGATTTAGTTCCTGCAAAAATTGCAAATGAAAAATGTCCGCAGCTTGTTATTAAATTCTACGAAGAACACATTCAATGGAACAGTTGTGCACAAGTGTGACACTTTCTGATTGTTTATATTTTTATTTTTCATTAGATTGGATAAGATTTGCCTATCCTTTCATCATTACATGAATTCTAATTGCCAGTACGTGTATTTCAATTAATTAGAGGTTTTGATTCATCTCCATTGGTTTCGAAAAATCGCCTCAAATATGTTTTTTTTTCTTTGTCATTTTCATGATATGTTGATTTACTCAAGTTTTCATCCACTCATTAAAAGAAATATAATTCTCCTGAAATGAAAATGTTTATAGCTTTGGAAAACAATTCTTGATTTATTTGAGCTATTAATTGATATAATACTAGTGAACATTTGTATCTTGCTCTGCCGATACAATTATACAAAGCTTTCTATGTCAAATTGGCTAACTCTTTCACTGCTGAGATGCAAGATCAGTTAAGTATGTTTTTCTTAAAAAATTCAATAATCGCATTTTGATCATTAGATATGACCTGCTTTATTTAAGTTTTGATGGTTCGTTTCGTTAGCCACTTTTAAATTCACAATTCAAAGCTATGTTCAATGCGAAAAGCAATAATTTTAAAAAGTCATCATTCATCGCAAGAAAAAAGCTAATGAAAACTCGCAGTAATAAATATAAGCAATAAAAGGTAATAATTTTAAACAATTTAATAAAGCAATAGAACAAATAAAATAAAGAAATGGCATGAAAATTAATAAAATCTTTATGTCGTTATTTGTCATCATTACATTTGCTGCTTATTGCAGCTGACTGATGAGTAACAGAATTCAAATGACAGAATCTATCTCTCAAGAACAAACAAATAAAATTATATATATATATAAGAAAGGTTAGCAGTTGATTGGAAGTGGTCGGAATTTAGATTTTATTTTCTAAGAGTAAGTTGAAATTTCAATAAATTGGATTTTATTCGTGTTTACAGTAGTCGATTATCACAACAAAATAAAGGAACTTATTGTTCCGAGTCTTTAAGTTGTTTGTTTCCATATTTTGTGAATTTAAACACTTGTGTGACAATTGTTCCCATAAAATCCATCTGCCTAATCATTGCATAAATAACTTTAACTATGCTAACTCAAAACACCACCGAATATCACGGAGCTTCTGAAAAATTAAGCCAAGTCAGCTTTCAAAATTTGTTGGAAAAATTGTGAAGTAAATCGAAATTAAATTTTTTAAAGGCTAATTTCGAGTAAATTGAATAATTTTTTCACTGCACTGAAGTAGCTACTATTATTACTAATTATGTCAATTAATTCTGCTGAATGAATAATTTCAATATATTGTCAATTCGATGATGTTTACTCTTGCAAACTTGTTTATTATGCAGTATGTAATTTATATTTAGAAAAAACAAATTAATTCAAGAAAGTTTTAAATATTTTTATGGTTCCAATTATCACAAAGTGTTAGCAGTAATCACAAGGGTTAAGTGCTGATTGTAAATGTTATTTCCATTAAATAGACGCATGAAAAATAGCAATATAAAATTAATGAACAGATAATGGCATTAGAACAAAGTATTAAACATAATTAACTGAAAAAGAAAAAAATGGTAAATAGTGCATAAGTGATAACGAAGAAATCATAACGGTTGATGAACATGCTTAACTTGGTGATAAATGATATTTATCGTGTCGCTTTCCGATTGTTTTAAAAGTTTCAAAATACAGCACTGTTTTTTGTATTAATGGCCATTTTATTTTATCATTAATTGAGAAGAAAATTATAG